CTTCACTTCTTCAATTTCCAGCAGACCAAAACATATGGAGGTTGCTTCGGAACTGCCAGCATGAAACCGCTGCAGCTCTGGCACCTTCCCTTGACATTTGAAAGTCTGCAGCGCGCAAGGCCCAGTTCTGATTTGTTTGAGCCCTTGGCTGTTAGATCCGAGTCAGGAGCCTTCACGGGTGACAAGGAAGTGACCCAAGCGAGTGAGCACTACACACTTGCTTTTGGCGCAGCTGTGGCAGAGATTTTCATGACAATCCGGTCATGATTTGGTTTCCTTTGCCAATTCGTTTGTGTTTGTCATTCATATCGCAATTGACATACCCGCAATTTCAATTGACATTTGGGGTCAGTTTGGGGTGATGCTGTGAACGCTGCAGCGCGCAGGAAGTAAAAAGGACTTTCGCCTGCCTCTGATTAAAACAGTGAACAAGCACTTCGATTCCAGGGATCGAGGCCGAATCGTGCGTCCTGTTGCCGAGGTTCTCCGCGCGCACCCACCAGCAGCACGCTTCCACCATCAGTTTGTGCCCCAGAGTGGTCCAGTGGTTCATGTCGGCATGCAGCAAAGTTTCAAGTGAGACAGTCAGTTGTCATGACATTCAAATCTTGTTGTTGCTCAGGTGCACATCGAAAGCTCGCTGTTGGACAATGGCGACTGTCAATTGTCAATACCTTGCCATCAATTGCCAATTGTACAGTCTGAGCAAGGACTTGGGGCTTGGAAGTTTATTTTGTTTTTAAAGCGACTAGCATTGGAATTTGTCAGGTGCATGCATGTGTTTTGGTGTTGGCAAAATGTTTCGTAGTGTTGCAAACCCCTGTTTTGTCTGCTGTTGTGTCACTCTCGTACCCTGCTTTCTCCCTTCCATACTCACGCCGTGCCCTCGCCGTGCCCAGACGTGCCATGCATTTTCAACTGCCCGGCCCCTGTTGTGCTCACACGTGCCCCTGCCATGCCCACATGTGCCATGCCACTTTTCCTGCCGTGCCCCACACGTGCCCCTGCTGTGAAACCTGTAGGCCCATGTCTCTTTGTGTCTCTTTGGCTTTTTGGTAACCCACTGATCTATTACCCATGGATTGGGCCCTCACGTCAAGTACACTGATTCAGGCTTCTTTGGACATTCCAATTCCCACAGCTGCCCCAGGCTATGTTGCCTCTCCTGGTGCGACGGACAAAGTGGATACGATATGACTGCGACAGTTCCAGGAAAAGCCCTTCACGACGCCCCTGGTGTGACCATGCAAATACACAGCACGCAATTGCCGGCATGGTCCGTCGCTCTCCGTCTGCCTTGCAGCAAGTCTCTTTGGCGTGTGGCACACTGTCCAGGGCACTGTGGACGGCCACTCTGGTCGCCGATAGCCCACGAGCGGAAATCTGCGGTTGAGACGGGGCCCTGTTCCAACAAAGGAAGTTAAGGCCTCGGAACCCTCTTCGCTCGCACAGGTCTGCTATCTTCTTGCACCTCAGTTCCAGGAGGTGTTTCCCTCAACCGTGGTGAGGCCGAACTATGTTGTCCCTCCGAGCGAGGCCGAAGACTTTCCACAATCCTCAGCTTATGCGAGGCCGACAACACCCTCAGCAGCGAGGTCGAAAGTTCCCTCAGCACTCGGCGAGGCCGTACACAGGCAGCTATGTGGCTGGCAGAACTACCGAGCAAACACAGTGGTTTCGGTTTGAGTCCTGTTGGAGCCCACCCTTAGGTACAGCCTCCAGGCCACCGAACAGCTCACTACCTGCGCACCCCACCGGGGTTGAGCCGAGACTTGAGCCAGGTGAATTTTACACACCCCCTCATGCACAGATGGTCCTGGGGTAGTTCCCTTCAGTCCTTTCTTTCCTCCTGCTTCAGGATATTCTTTCCAATCCTGACAAGAGCCTTTCCAAGCTCCTCCGGGTAGGTCCCAGACTCCTTCAGAGACTCACTCTTCGAGTGTTCGTGGTTTCCTGCGCAAACGTACGAAGACAGTTCCCACACGCAGGCAGCACTATTAGAAGCGAACCACCATCTCTTCCAAGTCTTCTCTTTCTTCTCGAAGCAGCACCTATCTACTTATCGCTTGTGCCAAATTCGGTTTGAACCCAAAAGCCAAGATCTCACAGGAGAAGCAAAACTCAGAACGAGCACTGCATGTCCCTCTTCTTCTTTTCATCAGTGGGCGAATCACAGATCGCATTCAATCATGTACCGGTGCACACAGCGCGGTGCACATACATTGCACATGCGTCTCACCATACACAAACGAACCTCAAGCCCCCTTTAAGGGCGAGGCACCTGTACACACAAGACCAATGGGAGTGCCGATGGCACGCAGGGAGTTGCAGCCGCCGCGGCGGGCCCTGCTACTGCGATGCCCTGGGTGGGCTGGGCGGGTCAAAATTTTTGGCACTGAGCTGCAGAGCCAGTGCTGCACACACATCTTCCTGCACATGCAATTGCAAATCGTCGTTGGCATACCAAGCAAGACAAGCATCAGAAACTTTTGGGCATCAAACCAAGACCAAACGGCACCCCGTTTTTCTTAGAGACAATTTGGCAGCAAACGATAAAACACCATTCGCTCGCGAACAGTAAGCTTATCGCTTGTGCCAAATTCGGTTTGAACCCAAAAGCCAAGATCTCACAGGAGAAGCAAAACTCAGAACGAGCACTGCATGTCCCTCTTCTTCTTTTCATCAGTGGGCGAATCACAGATCGCATTCAATCATGTACCGGTGCACACAGCGCGGTGCACATACATTGCACATGCGTCTCACCATACACAAACGAACCTCAAGCCCCCTTATTAGCCGACATCCCCAAGCATATGGCATCCAGGTGCTCCGACACATCGGAACACGGGACACTGATGCCACCCCACAACAGGTGCTTGGACACCAGCCTCGACGGGAGATCCGCACAGTTTGAAGGGGAAGGAACGCGTGAGAACCAAGGGATGAACTCACACCCCACCTCCAAGCTCACGAACATTTTAAGCAGGCTTTTCACAGTTGGGGACCTGCCCCTGCATGAAATCAAAATGTCCCTGACGGAGTTGTTGTCGATGAAAGCCACAACAGGTGAGTTCGCAACCCTTTTGCCCCAAAGACGGAACGCAAGCAGCACCGCAACAAACTCAGCCTCCATTATGATCGTGTCTTTGTTGATCTCACCCAGGAGCTTCCGGACGTCACTGTCAAGGGCGTGGGAGAAACCGGCAACCAACACACCCTTATCATCAAACAAGAGACCACCAACACCACAAGGCAGCACGGGGTCATCCTTCGAATAGGATGCATCAGTGAAGACATACCAGGTTTGCTGTTTGTTGACTTGGACTAGCCTAGGGCGTCCACTGTCCAACATGTCGACCAGCGAGGTGAAAGTATCAATGCACTCCGCCGGCAGATCAGGAGGGGCACCCCCATGGGCGTAATCAGAAAGCTGCTGCATGCAAAACTTGCTCTGACGCCCAAACAGCTGTCCACTTGCAAACTGGAGCTTACCCCTTAGCTTGAGTGCTTGAGGCGCACTCATGCGTCGGTCTTTCTGGGCCTGCTTCATAGTCTCTACGAGGAGCTGAACTCTCTTTTCCGTGTTGCAAATGGTCACACGACCCAAGTGGGCGCTCGAAAGCACTATGTCAACCCCTAACGCACAAAAGGTTTCCGCAAACGGCACATCCTTTTTCCCACCTTGGGCCAGGTCCCAACCTAACAGGGCGAAGAGCAAGGTGATTGTTTGGTGCACATTAGCCACCTGCGAGCCCCTAGCAACCGACACGAAGTCGTCAAAGTAGTGGGACCAGCAAAGGGCGAAGAAGAATGCGCCAAGGTGCCATACCGAGTTAACGGTCCTCAGAAAAGTCGACACTGACTTGACTGCCCCGAAAGGGAGTGCGTGCAGCTGAAACACCACTACCCTCTTCAGATCAGGATCCCGCAGCCCAATGTACGAAGCCCAGGCCCCTGCCGGGTCCAAAGCCAGCTGCCTGTAGGCACTAACCAGGTCATAGAACCTTCCCTTGAGACTACACCCTGGTTGCGCTCGCATCAGAGACAGGCACAAGCCTGCGATGACGTCGACGGTCTGGGGGCGCACGGTCTCCGACGTCTCCACGGAGCTGTTGACTCCCGACCCTGAGAAGTCGTCAATCAATCTGATTTTCCCATCCTGCTCGATCCCGAACCGTCGTGACACTATGGCATCAGGTGGCAGCTGATCCACCTCTATGGGACCTGACAGCCAGCCCTTGTCACGCTCCTCGAGAGTTTTCGTCTGGACCTCGCGATCCAGAGCCTCCCCTTGAGACTTGATGGTGGACAAAAGGGCCGCCCTAGAGGTGGGCGCATCTCTTTTGAGTTGGTCAACGGTGACTGACGCCGGCTTGAACTTCGGGGCAAACACGCCTGTATCGGGCACCGGGCCTCCCAGGTTAGTACCCGAGATTACTTCATCGAAGATGGACACATCGTCGTAGGAAGCCTCAACCATCATCGCCTTCCACAAGAGGAGACGTTTGGGCTTTAGGATCGTAGCGACCTGTTTATGCATAGAGGCCTTCAGCGCTTCTTCCTCGCTCCTGAGGTCCTGCGCAAGCTTAAGCCACTTAGCAAACTGGCGCGCTCTCAAACCGCACAACTCCGACTCGGACAACGAGGCATGGGTGCACACAGCATCTTTGAGGACTTGCGGCAGGGAGACCTCAAGGGTTCTGGGATGGCCGGCTTTAACGGCCTCGCGGACAAACTGTTCCGGGGAGAAAGGGATACCCCAAACAAGCTCGTTCCAGAGCTCCGCGGCAGTACCACAACCTTTGTTTCCAGAACCAGCGCTCGAACTCCCCTGCTTAACCGGGACTATTTGCAGCAGCTGGGCGTCGGCTGGCACCGAGCGCTCGGGGCAGACGGCCACGTGGGGCAGGGGCCAGGGGTCCTTAAGGCGGGCACGCAGGGGCACCGGACAGGAGACAGAAGGGGGGACCCGTACTCGCAAAATGCGAGCATGCTCAGGCACGCGGGGCCCCGTCACAGAGGCTTTCGGCTGACTCCCGACCTGGCCACGGACAAGAGACAACTGGAGCCCGGCAGGTGAGGGCGGCTTGGGCGGGCAAGCTTGGAAGAACGCCTGGGCGAGGGCACGCGCCAGTGGCAGCGAATACGCAGCTTCCAACGACGTAGAGAAGCCGTTAGGCGCCTCTGGCGCCACCCCCCACGGCAGGTGACGTTGAGCGCAAGACTGCCCAGGGCAGGACTTGCAGATGCAGTCAAACGCACCCCGG